TCTCTCTCTCTTAGTCTTACTTTCCCTTCTATACCTCTAGGACCTGCTCTAACCTCTTTTCTATCACTTCTAAACAATGCTTTTATATAACGGACACAATTTAGATGGAATTTAATTATACATAAACATAATTAATTATTAATTATACCTGGAAATATGCAGTTTTATTATAAATGAATATTTAATGAATGAATTGTAATATACGAGAGGAATACGAGCTGTTTATCACAAAAGTGTATTATACCTGTATACTGAAGAGGACGACATATCATAGTACAAGTGCATTCTGCAATCATTTAGGGAGGAATGCAACTTTTTACTTACTAAGCTTTCTCCAATTCGGAAACGCCTCTATTCATATCTCTTATTATTCTTACATCACTGTACCCAAATCGGGACACTTTTTAGATAAATATCAATGTTCTTTATACAATACTATCAGTTCCGAAAATGTTTGTTAATTTTTCATAAATAGTTACTATCCACTTTTCATTTCTATCACAATTTGATTTTTCGGGCGAGTGGTTCTATAAAAAGAACGCGAAATACCATCAAAGTTACGCAGGCCCTTGAACCAGCGTTACTGTACCCTGAAAGAGAAACTTCAGGTATTTTGGTGAATATTTGGGGATAAACGATCAATATCGACAGAACATATGCATAGTTGAAATATTTTAGTCAACGAGGGTTCTGATGAAATTTCTTCTCCAAATTTACATTAGTTTTGATAAAATAGACTTTTGAAAAAAATTGCGTCGCAAATCAGGAAATTCTTGTTTTGGCAATTATTCTTACCTTTGAATTGTCCATGTAACGATAATCAGCAGCCAATCAAGCTTAATACAGTTTAATTGTCATGAAAAGTATAATCAAATGAAAACTGTATACAAAAAAAAGGTGTTTCTATGCATTGAATGAGTTTCTTGGGCCGTTTTCCCACAAGCGTCCCGTTATGGGTATTGGGTACAGTGACGGTAGCTTGCTATTCAAAGAAAGGCGATCGGCATTATATAAATATGGTTGTATATTGTTTGTTGCATATTTTGTTTAAAGTACAACAAATGTCAAAATGAAATATTCTGAGAACGAAATTGTGATAATGATTGAGATTCTGGTTGACAATAATAAGTATCGTTATTGGGCACGAATTTCCATTAGACTGTAGACACTCCTGTGGGAACAATAGTACCCCTCTCCTGGCCGATTTGTTTCTGTTTTCATGTGAAGCTGAACAAATTGATGAGCTTATCAGGACTGGTTACAAAGTCCTAGCCAAGTCTTTCAATCTCACATTCAGATATATAGACGGTGTGCTGTCTTCTGAAGATCATACATACCCCAGGCCTCCAGAGCTTGAAATCAAGGACAGGACAGACTCTTCTACTTCAGCTAATGTTCTCGATCTTTACCCACAGAATGGCCAAGAGGGGCGGCTTGCTATTTAGCTGTACGATAAGAGTTCAACTTTCCGATCGTAAACTTTCCCTTTTTTGTTAGTTATATTAAATGTTGACTGCTGAGGGACAAACTACAACACATGGATTCAAAAGATGTCTTGATGAAGACTATAGACAAGTTGTATAGTCGCGTACACAACAGTGATGTGTGTATTAACCTGTGTAATGGATAGGTGCCTGAGAGTTTGTTATGTTGTGTTGTGTGGTTGATGGTGTGTGTGTGTGTGTTGGTGTGTAAAAGATGAATTATATAGATACAGCTAGATGAGGCATATGAGTGTCAATATATATAGATAGCTGACTTCATACTAGTCTTATGTGTATGCATGTCATAGTGTGTTTATATATTGTACATTTTCATGTATGTACAATTAAATGGCTATTATCGAACATGTATACAGTGCAGTAATATGTACTCGTGTCCACAATGTGGATATATCAGTGCTCAAATGATCATGTACACATTGTGATATGCGTGTGCATGTTGGTGAACAGTGATACATATACTATGGTAGGCTTGGAAGTTTGAACTATTCTTCTTAGCGCATATCATCTAGGGGTATGGAGAATGAGAAAATGTTTTAATAAATAAATATGCAGAATATGATGTTTGTATAATGTAAACCTGTGCATGTGTAGATTATTAAGTTATCTCGTGCTAGCATCTATACTCTGTAAGTTTGAGTTTGTGTGTTTGTGTGTGTGTGTTTCTTTTCATGATTATATGTATTATGAAAAAATCGTCGAAAAATAAAAAAAAAAAATACAAAAAAAAGAGGCCCAATGGACCTGCATCGCTCACCTGGTATAAATCTCACACTTGTAACCTTAAAAGTGAACTAAAATAAAGCTACAGGCAAAATATCAGTATTTATGATTAAAATTCATTCAAAAGAACCTGTTATTTTTTTGAAAACATTTCACCCCTGTGATTGAAGGTCAAACAAAGTCATTATGTTGAACAAACTTTGTAGCCCTTTATCTCAGCATGCTACTGGCCAAATATCATCACCCTGTGCATTTTGGTTATTCAGAAGAAATTGTTTAATGTTTTTCACATACTTGACCCCTGTGACCTTGAATATAGGTGAAGGTCATTCATTTGAACAAACTTGATAGCCCTTTACCCAAGCATGCTACTGGCCAAATAATATCACCCTGGGCATTTTGGTTATTGAGAAGAAGTTGTTCAAAAATTTTAACATATTTGACCCCTGTGACCTTGAATATGGGTGAAGGTCATTTATTTGAACAAACTTTGTAGCCCTTTATCTCAGCATTGCTACTCGCCAAATATCATTACCATGTGCATTTTGGTTATTCAGAAGAAGTTGTTTAATGTTTTCACATATTTGACCCCTGTGACCTTGAATATGGGTGAAGGTCATTCATTTCAACAAACTTTGTAGCCCTTCATCTCAGCATGCTACTGGCCAAATATCATCACCCTGGGCATTTTGGTTATTCAGAAGAAGTTGTTTTAAGTTTATTTAAGACAATTGACCCCTGTGACATTGAATATAAATGAAGGTCATTCACTTGAACAAACTTGGTAGCCCTTCACCCAAGCATGCTACTGGCCAAATATCATCTCCCTGGGCAGTTTGGTTATCGAGAAGAAGATGTTTAAAGTTTCTAACATATTTGACCCCAGTTACCTTGAAAATGGGTGAAGGTCATTAATTTTAACCCTTCATCCCAGTTTGCTTCTGGCCAAATATCATCACCCTAGGCCTTTCGGTTATTAAGAAGAAGTCGTTTAAAGTAAAATATTGACGCCGGACGGACGGATGGACGGCATAAGCTCACTTGGCACTTTGTGCCAGGTGAGCTACAAAAGGATTATGGTCGCCATCAGGATCTCGCAGGGAAATATGTTATTTCTTTGAGAGCGCCATGTGGTTTTGTTGTTACCACTCAAATTCTCGATGCAAGGACATGACATCACTTCGACTCGACCTAGAAGCAGAAGACACTTCCCTGGTCTTTCTCTCTTTGTACTTTCTCAAGGATCCTTTTTTCATATTTAAACTAGTCTTATCTTTATTGAGTTCAGTCTATGGTTGTGCTGATACCAAGGTATTCTCTTGCTGATATTTACACTTTTGTTGGTATTTATATCTAATTTGCTACTCTAGAGCTTTCTTTTTTAGATGTATCAGAATTATCTCGATATGAGCGTGCAGTTGATTTCTACATTCAATCATGGTTTCCTTTTAGACCTCCCTGTCGTATATTTAAGCCTTTTTTTTATTGAAGATAGCCCTGTTTTGTTATACATGTACATGCTTTCTAAACAAATTCAGTATTTTATCATAATTTTGCGTCATATTTGGAAAACAACCCCCGATATATATGCCCTTTTGACCCCTCCCACCCCCACCCCCCCCAAAAAAACACACTTTTAATCAAGCTTTCTTACTAGTTCTTCTGCATGTAAAACATTGACACCTTACTTTATCCATAAGTAAAGAATAAAAACGGCGGTGTAATAGGACCCACCATTTTTTACCTACAAATTTTTCGTTTTCCCCAAAAAGAAAAAAGCTACAGGCCAAGTATCAATACTTTATGTCTTAGAGATCTTTAAAAGATATCTAAAGAAAAGTTTGATGCTGGCAAATGGTAGTCCCTTACTTCTGACACTTACAGGCCAAATATCATGAATCCAGGACTCTTAGGATATTTCCATCCTATAATGAAGGAGTTTTTACACGCAAACTTCTGTGATATTGGTTGAAAGAAAATTAAAAAAAATAATGGTATAAAGTGACACGATTTATTTGCATAGGCAAATCACTGCTGTGAACCAAAGAATGATGACATCTGTCCCAGTGCTGGTTACAGTATCCTATAGACAATAAACCCAAACAACAATACATATTGGGCATGTCATAATTCAAAGATAAACGAAATTAATGAAACATCATTTTAACAATAACACTTACAGTATTCTTTTCACAAAAACGGTAATGAAATACGTTTTGTATTATCAGTAAGAGAAAAGTTTAAAACAGAAATACTATGTATTGTTGTTAAAAAGAATATTTGAAGTATAGCTTAACAAATAGTTTAAAGTGCAATTTATACTTAATATAAAATGTCATTCTTGTTTTATTTCTTATTGATTTATTGTTTTTTATAGAATCATGAATAGATGAACATGAAGTGTCCATTTAATAGATAAACAGGTAAACAATTTCCAAGTTTACTGCAGAGCATTTGTCTATTTTTAGACTTAGTGAACATAAAACCTGTCAGCAGCAAATTAAGTTCGTTTTTTAAAGTCAAATATAGCACAAAGAAATATGTATTTATATAAAAAAAATAGTACTGTTGCATGCATTTGGAATGGCATAACATATAAAGCCTATACATCAGAAGGTTCCTTGTGTTATACACCGCTGAGTGAGCGTAAGAACTCTACAGAAGACTGATATCTTAAAGCTTCCTCCACTTCATCATCCCATCTCGCCACTATTCATTTGCACACATTTGTACTGTACTATTAGGTACCTTTCCCCCAATATCATATATTTTCAAACACGGCACACGACAACCCAACTAGCTATGCGACTACTCAAAGTAGTTGTAAGCTTGCTAACAATTTTATTATAGATCATTGATCAATATTAGGTTCCTTGTGACAATCCAGGCTAACAATTTTTGTAGTTATTGAATCTAAATAAAGAGTTATTTTTAATGAAGGACAAATGAAAAGTTGAAGTTCTTCATTGTCTTGAGAATTCTGATTCACACTTTTATCCAATTGACTTTAGTATTATGCAAATGAAGTCAAGAGTGGAACCATGTTTATCCATACTGTGTTTGTCTGGTCACTTCCTAACACTTTCTAAATAAAATTTGTTATTCTAAAATATTTTCCGAGAACAACTGTCAAGGTAAACAAGGTTCCACTGTCTGGTAGATTTATTTATCATCTAGAATAAGTTATAATTACAACAGCATCAAACAGTTTAATTATTATACCATTGATTTACGTGTCAAAATGTTAATTGTAAAACTAGATTTAATTTTTTTTAAATGAGAAGGGAGATAACTAGGAGGTATTTAGTAGTAATTGTCAAGATTGTGCTATTTTTTCTCAAACTCTTGCGACTATAAATAAAAAGGGATGATTTGTGAAGTATATTTTTCATTCTACAAATGTCAAAAGGATTGTTTGCAACAGACATGAACAAACAACTGGGTAAGATATTTACAGCTAGGTAAGTACGAGATGTACATATCCAAGATATCAGGTTTTCATGTTTTCTCACAGATGTTTTTGATTATCAATGTAAATATCATAATCATTTTAAGATGGCATAGGAACGAATGCTTTTTAATATAAGTGTGAACACGAAAATTTTCTGAAATATTTCTGAAGAGTCCAGATTGTTAACATATGTAAATTAATGAAATAATATTGAAATTTTAGCAAACTGCATCAAACAAAAGCAGAGTTAGAATATTTATCATCATAAAAATGTACACCTATATTAGAATATCTTTTTACATACACACAAATTAACAGTCATCTTTAAAATTATTAGCAAGAACAGGAGAGAATTCAATAAATATGAAAGTGCCTGGAAATTCTTAGTATATATTTGTATTACAAAATATCTTGCAGAGTGTAGTGAAGACCTGATTGAAATATGTTTAAAAAATCTGCCTCATAACACTTCTGTGTAAGGATTTGTATGGCAATTTTAATAAGTAATCAATTAGCAAATCATGATTTTTACTATACTATGTAAAACATTCATACATCATTAACATGAGCACAGTAATAATACATTATGTATTATAAATACATAATTTTACATTGTTCCTCTAACCAGATATGTAAAAGTATCAGCATTTTTAAAATGCATTAATGACTGTTAGTTCACATATCTGTCCTCAAACAGACAAAACTCTTAAAATCACACAGAATATTTAGTAAAAACTATGAGGCACAAATGATACACACCCTCACAATAAAAAAACATTTTGGGAAGGGTACAAAATTCTCTTCTCAAAAATCTGTTGACATTCTTTTTATCAGAGATATTTGTGGAAAAAGTAATACTGAAATGACCCAATATTGTGACTGGATTTCCCATGATGTCTGCATTGCAGAAACACAGCTATTGTGATCAAAATTCAAATAGATCTAAGTTAGACAATGCCAGTCTCACAAAATGGAAACTGTTCAACTTCATTAAAACAGAGACAAGTCAAGCTTCCCTTTTCACAAGTCAGGCATAAAGTGTGGTTAATTAGACTTCTTCACTTCCTTTCACAGTATTTAACATCTCAACATACACCATACACAAGTTGGCACTCCAAGTCAATGTAACACTATCCTACACTACGATCAGTCAGCCTTCTTTGGTTTCCTGCGTCTTGGCTTGGCATCACCAGCTTCTTCTGGCTTTGTTTCTTCTTTGTCCTTTGTTACAGCTTTCTCCGGCTCCTCCTCCTCTTCTACAGCCTCCCCTTCTGACTGTGAATGTTGTGTGTCGTCCAGGATGTCTTCTGTTTCTGAATCATCATCCTCGGTACCCTCGTGTGACTGTAGTGATAGATATAGCTATAGAGGACATTTGAAAACATCATTTGGTCTCTACTGTATAAAAATGTACACTATTATCCAATACCTTCAATCCTGTTGTATCAGTGGGAAATCTAAGTGATCAATGCCTCTTTATTCCCAGTCATTTTACTAATAGTGATTCTTTGCCTTGTTGAAGGAAATTTATCAGTTTATGCATTTTCCCTGAAGCAACTCTGGGTCATAATAACCCAGTACATATATAAACCCCTTACCTATCCACTTTAAATGTAATCTTCTGTTCAGGTACAAACCTATACCAAATTGCAGACAGCCAAAATCATATTATTGCATATGAATTTTGAATCTCAGCATTCTACATGGTCGATAAAATTTCAGACATAAGCTAGAATACTTTTACATACATGTACATGTCAGAGTTCCTGGAGACCAATCTGTGAGTTTCACAATCATTTTAAGGGAATCGAGGCTTCAATAAGGGAGGTTTTATTTGCGGCGTTTTTCACGGCAAAAAATCTTATCCTATTCAACTAAATCAATGGAATACAGTACAAAATCATTAAGTAAGAAACTTTGTTATGATTTTGGCAGAGTTTTTTGTTTATATTGAATATGATTATATATATATTTAGTAGCACAAAGTTTACAAAACAAAACAGTATCACATATAATTAATTGAGATGAACTGCAAAAGCAGAATCACTTTAAAATTCACAATTTAGTTTAACAGGTCAATATTCACAGCAGCCACAGTACTACTGATGTTTAAGTTAGGAGACATCAACTTTGAACTGTGGATATTGATGAGTTTATAAGGATTACAGTTGTCTTTGTTCATTTTCATTCGAACTTCTGAGCATTGTTATATAATCTGGAAACGTGCATTCAACAAGAGGACAGAAATAATCAGCTGTGAAAGAAAAGCAAACTGTGTTCTGCATTTGAACTTTTAAATTCAATATTTCAGCATTCAGATCAAAGCCATTTTCCATCTCCTCTGACATACCCCTGACCCTCCGTTCTCTGATCTTATATCAGTATATTTGTTAAGAAACACGTAGCGGGACATCGTTTTCAAAGTGTCTAACAATGAACGAACGTTACAAACATGACAGAAACCATTAATGTGCTAATTCTACTGACTTAAAGGTAAAAAAAACATGCTGCAGCCGACATCGTCGCACAGTGACTTAGATATCACGGAATTGAATGGCATATAATATGGATTTATTTCTATCGTTCAAATAGAATACTTATTGTAAAAGACACCGAAATAAACTCACAATTTTACCGACACCGGTAACATTTTCCGGAATTTATCAGAAGAGCTCTTGCATACGAATCGATCACATGACCATCACATGACCGCTACTCGAGAGCTCTTGTGATTTATCGCTGATAACATTCTTGAATCTCGTAAAACTTCGAGTTAACAACAACGGGAAAATGGTTCACTGATCAATTATTAAAAAAACTGAGGTTTTGAGGACTTTCCGTAAATTGAAGTCCCACACCATGAGACTTTAGCAGAGGTGAAAATCCGTGAGATTTTGCCTCATGCCCCGAGATCTGGCATGTATGCTTTGATCTACAGGTGACGAGTGATCAAACATATATCGCATTTAAGGACATATTAAACAGGCATATAACATATCTTACCTCTAATTCTTCCTCTGGCTGCTGGGGGGTCACAAGTCTGTCCTTGTGAGGGGGTGGGGGCAGGTACTTAGTGGGGAACACCATGTCACAACAGCACACGATCAGCTGAAAATCAAACACACATCTGGTTGTGTTTTATTTGGCTTGTGGAATGTTGTTCTTAAGGTATTACACAAGTCAAAAATACAGCAATACCACAGGAAATAGTTCAGTATGCAAATTAAAACAGAAAATGAATGAACATACTATGTACTTCAATCTATTTAAATCATGCAGAGTTTCTGACACTTCATTATAACATGAGAAAGGCATGTGCAGACCACTTCAACAATCAGCTAGGTTTTATTTGCATAAAACACACCAGTGTCCATTCGAAAATGATCTTTCATTGTATATAAGCTGTTATTCACTGGTTTCAAAATACAGGTTTCAAAATAAAACTGTAGAAACTCATCAAGATTGCACAGTACAATAATTTTAATTCTATCTAGAGAGGTGAAGCATACCAGTCCAAGAATGAGACCAAGGGCTATGGTCATGACTGCGAAGATGACGTAGCATGCCCACTCCGGGATCCCATACTCTGACGTCATCACATTGTACAGCGCCTGCAGATCATATTAGGAATTGTGATGTCAATTGTATGGTCAATTAATCAACAAAAATATGGCATATTACCAAGAATATCAGTAACAACATGAAACAACAATTATTCAAGAATTGATAAAAACATTTGGATAAAATCTCTCAAACTACATGTAGTATGTTTTTTTATAATTGTCTTTTCATGAAATATATACATATCTTTTCTAAATCGTGTTAAATAATAGAATTTGTTCACAGTGGTGATGTATATATTATTAATAAAGTAAAGTATATGTACAGAAAACTATTTCTCCCATACTTCTCAAGTATATATCAAATTTATGTAGGTATACTGTAATAGGTATATGTATGTATGTATATCTTAAGATTTCATTTATACAAGCTCAAGAGTAGAAATGGACCAGAGTAACATCAAAGGCTATGTTGAGGCTTTACTCCCAATTCAGAAACTAAAGATTAAAATGTCTCCATCTTTAATATACATATCTGAACAAATAATGTATATTTATATTGTTGATATGAAGTTTAAACAAGAATACCGCGGGGTGGAACAAAATACGCCCGTTGAATGCCATATAGTGTTATATACTTTCTTTCATTGAAATAAGATCTGCATCATTCTAAGAGTGGTTAGCTGATATGCTATAAAAAATGTAGGAGAAAACCTTCAGACAAAAAAATCAAATACTGAAATGAACAAAAGGCAATATATTTTTCAAAAATCGTCGAATCAAAATTCTTTTAAAGGCAGACAAAACTTCGTATCATGAATATAATGTATACCAAGTTTCAAAGAGATCCATTGAAACATGTAGGAGGAGATTGCCGGACAAATAATCAAATACTGAAATGAACAAAGGGCAATAACTTTTGGAAAAATTGTCGAATCAAAATTCTTTTAAGAGACACACAACTTCATATCATAATTATAATGTATACCAAGTGTCAAATAGATCGGTCGAAAAATGTAGGAGGAGAATGCTGGATAAACAAAAATTTACGCCAGACGGACAACCCCATGCCATAATACTACCGGCAAATTTGAAGGTCGTATAAAAATTGACTGTGAAATCCCACGTCTCAACCCTAGGGTGAGCTGTGGATATCTTTGCACCAGGAAAAAGTGGGGATACACCTGTTCAAAGTAAAAGAAATCCTCATCTCACCCTAGGGAGAGGAGATTTCCCAGTCATAACAACTGTTTATTGTCATAAGCAAGTCTCCTATTTGGAAATGTAAGAATATTCTCCCTTGGTTGAAATTTCCCCATCTCACCCCTATTATATATTCTATCATCAGGTAGTCTTTCCCTCAGCAAAGCCTTTAATGTATGATGTGAAGTGTTGGAGTAAAAAATATATCTACTTAGGTAGGGAAAGACACCTAACACATTTTTATTTTGAAAATGTCATCACTTCATTTTAAGGTTGCATTATCAATTTTGCAATAAAAATAAAAATGATAGCACTATTTTGACCTGGTGGCTTCTGTGAAAATGTAATTATTGATAGGTATAACCATATCAATTTCACAAGAAAAAGAATCAAATGACTGCGTAATCAACTGTGTAGACAGGAAAATCTCAACTGTTTGGAATAATAGAATCTTCCCCTACTTTAAGGTCATAGGAGTGTATTGCTAAACGGAAATAAGAAGTACATCCCTAGTTGAAAATCCAATGTGGGGAGACAGTGTCACAATTTCCGCATATTCTAATGTTTAATATTAAACTGATGAATATTGTATGTTTATTATTGACAGAACAGTGTGTTCTTTCAATATTAAAGTATTTCAACGCAACCCAGGCATTAATTCAGTTGTTTTTTAATCAATGAGTCACATGTGTCCATTGTTCTGTACTTCAGGAAACCGGCTACCTATTTCACTATTGTGAAGTTTTTCAAGAACGATAACTGTGTATATGGTTTAATTATAAAATGTCAATTTTTAATCGCTTATAGATAATTTATTTGACATAATTTCAGCATTTATGAAATTGATATACATTAATGCAATACTAATCTATGTCAGTATCCTTTTTTATTGACATTATTTTGCAAAACATTGTGTGCTCCATTTTTTTTTTCAAAATTCACTCCTTTTTACATAATTTCCATTTAAAATCCTCAAAATTCTTACAACCTATATTTTTTTGGTGGCAGAAAATTTTCTTTACTTCAAAGCAATATAGCTACAAAATTTGAAGAAATTCTACTGAGAAATGGTGACACAATCCTATTACCTTAAGGGTGTGACAGAGAAATATCCAACCTGAGGGATGATGTTCTCATATGTCTTACCCATTGCTGTGCCGAGGGCAAGACATTCGAGAATATCATCCCAAGGGTTGGAGATTTCTCTGTCACATCCTCAAGGTAGGGGATGATTGTTTTTCTCCCATCCTATTTCACTCTCTAATCCGCAGACAAGCGGTGATTGCATGAAATATTAGCATTGATTGAATGGTTTTTCCAGCAAATCCAGAGTTGTCTACTGTTGACATGACGTCAATGCATCAATGACGTGACGTCATATTATTGTGCACGAGGCCATCTCCCCCTAGGGGATGACAAGCTGATCTTTTCCGACTTAAAAGGGAGGTACACATGTTAAGGGTGGGAGAAAAGATTTTCACTGTCTACATATCGGCCAGCCTCAGGCTTTTAGGCTCCTATCTACATTATATATAACCCTTATTTAGTGTGATGGTCAATAACCAGAAAATATGAAGAATTGCTAAAATTCATAACATAGTGAAAGAGAAGATAGAACAGCCATAACACACCAGATATAATATTTATCTTCCTATATGATAGTCATTCATAATTCAGGTTGTTTTATAGTGATCGTACATGTACATGTGTTACAGATATATGAACTTGTAATAGAATTTTTAAGCATATTACTCTGATCTGCATTGCAGCCTTGAAGAAGAATCCAACTGCTCCCATTCTGTAAGGCAAAAATAGAAAAGATAGTTAACACTGAAAGTAACAACCTCATAGTGATCAATTTCAAACTTAATCAGGAATAACAATATGTGTTATATATATATACTGTATCAGTCGATATGTGTGTTACAAGGGAAATAACTCCAGTTTTCTTGAGACTACCACCTCAACCCTTGTAGTGGGCAGCAACCTCTCTGTCTTTCTGTGATATTTGACAGATTTGCTAGACACACCTGTGCCAGACACACATACATCCATTTTTTAACATGTGACTTAGTTTTAAAAAACTTTTAGATGCCCTCTCCCAAAATTCAATTATGTATTTTTAATCAATTATTTATTGCAGGCAAATTACTATAAGATGATATGTAAGCCAAACCCCATCCCACAAATATTCTTCAACATTTCACAAACTTCCTTTAATCATAGTGATGCTCCTTTCTATAAAAGTGTAACAGACTTACTGTAAAAGCATAAAATTTCGTTGGAGATTTAATAATTTTGTTTATTCCCTAAAACCACGAAATATATTAATCCTAGTGAATTTTTACCACACAACATACAGAACACACGAATATATGAGGAAAAAAATTATTAAATTAAATCTGAGGAGTATATATTTAGATATGTGAACAAATGTTCTGTCCAGGGCAATTAGGATTGAAACAAACCTATGTAAGTAACTATTGTAAAGGACAGAGTTAATTCTGATAGAATGAGGGATGACTTTAACAGTTTCAGTAAAGACATCTGTCTTGGCGGTTTTGTCATGATGACTGTTGGGGTACATGAATGCGAGTGTACTACTTGTTAATGGATGGTAACATTTGTATGTAACAAATCAACATGATGGATTTGATTGATCCCTAACGAGTGAACACATCTCACCTGATCTTATCTGTACATATTTTTATGTGTTTGTCTTACGTAACGTCTAGCATTAAAAGTTTTCTTTGATAACCAGATCATTAATGTGCAAATGTCCTATTTGAGAAATATTGATTCCACGAAATCTAATCCCAAAGAAATTTGTCCCCTTGTCCCCTTATGTAAATTACAAAATTAAACCCCCACGAAATAAAATGCTTTTACAGTAGTGCGAGGAGTTTTACGAGACATACACTTCACGTTTGTACCCCCCCCCCCCAACTACAAATCTCACCTGTAATTTGTGACATACTTACTGTACAGAGCTGGGGGACAGGTACCACACCACAGGGTCTATCGCCTCCCATTTCTTGTCACCAATAAAGCTGACTAGCTCGTTTTCTTTACGTCCTCCCTTGTATTGTCGGAACACTCCGTCCTTTACACTGTAAACCACCGCATCAGTCTTAACTAATGCAAACTCCAAACCAAAATCACAAATTTTCTTTTTATCAATTATCTTTTCTTAATTAGCATTTATATTTAAAGATGAAGTATGAATGAACACTATGAAGTTTGTTGCAGCAAACTTTCAAATTTTAAACATGATTTTATGCTCCATATGTCCATATAGGTGATGATCTACATGTGTTGTTTTTTTTACTTTGACAAGAACAAGACATCAGTTATAGATAAAAAAAGCTTTAAGTGAGCATGACAGTACTTACTGGTATACGGATGGGAGTGCAGATACCAGGAATCGGCCACTCAGTCCTGAAACAACATAGGAATTAGGATGACATTCATGTATATATTACTTTATTACAGGACCTACATGTCATGCAGTGAGTATACCCATGTCATACAATGTATTCTTTTACCCACATGTGTTTAATGTCCTATGACATTTCAATGGTTAGCTCACATGTGGTACAATAATGACACCATAATTAAGGCAATAGATTGCCATCGTAGACTTCCTACACATTAATTCTTTCTTGGTTATTATGATATCATACTGTGCGTTCAAATTATCCGACTTAAATCTTCTTGTGCGAGTCATATAAAGTGAGGGCCCTTATCTTACTATATATACAGAAATCTTATACACAGACCACTGCATATTTGACATTCCATGGGTTACGCTCACTTTCACTTTCTGCACCCCTGGAATATGTCATAGCAAAATTGAGGGCGACCGGTTAGCCATTTGATTGGTCTCGGGTAAAATGGCTGGTATCTGTCCATTGAAGATTACAGAGGAGTGACACCCGACTTTAAAGTCAGTCAATTTTATGTTATGTAACCCCAAGATTCTTTAGATGTACATGTACATAGTTTTCATGTCTATCGACAAAGTGACGCACACTGGGCTAACCGTTAATGTTGCTATGACATATTCCAGGGGTGCAGAGAGAAAAATTGAGCATTATCCCTAGAGTATCGGGAATGTGGCCAGTGATGCCTTTACTGTACTCCATATACACAATTCTAGAAAACTACAAAGAGGTTTGAGTTTGTGCTGTATCATTTCATGTTTATATATACATTTGTTAATCACAACAAATTAATACATCTCTGTACCAGAAGACTGTACATGTATGTCATTTCTTGTCCTCCACTGTGTGGTGTTATACAACATTTCTGGGGTTTTTTAAATTCTTCACTTTATTTCTAATACCACCATTTTTTTATTAGAATAAGACTGACTTGAAGAAATAGTCTCTCTGTATATCATTGCCCTTTAAACTGTAGGTACGTACTGTCATAGTGAACAGACATGTATAATGCTGTGTTATGATATACAAACCTGTACTACTACTTTCTGTACAAGTTAGGTCAACATTGTATGAATAATTTACACAGTCTGATCTAATATATATGTATCCCATAACTTGTATTTGTATAATGCAATCAGAAAATTAATAAGAACAGATACAGTAGCACAAGGCAGCCATTTTATGCAACCATATTAAACTTAGCAATCCCCTTTTGTTTTATGAATGAAGTAATGTAAGGCTATTTGCTACAGCACATTAATATAAAGACTCAACATAATCACTTAACCTAACTTGCAGCACTTGTATTGTTTTATGAATTAATTTTTAGTAAATTTGGTCCTGCTTACCTGGATTTTCTGTGACATCCACAACACCAACTTTAAAATCAAAGTCATCACTCCATTTTGCAAAGCTTGCCCATGTATCTGTAAATGCACGACAGGCAGGGCACCAAGGGGCCATACTATCAACACACAAAGGGAGGAAATGCATTGTAGTACAACTGGGGGCTAATATACTTTCAATACAACAGTGAAAAATATATCATACCTAACAGTGTGCCTAATTTGAATATATTTGTCATATGATGGGGACAAAAAACATCAAAAATCCCTCTCCTGATGTAGTTTTCCTGGTCAGATTCTTCTTATTCTGAAACTGTCTTGAAAAAATTAACAATAAGCATAACACTGGAATCTGCAGGACTAAAGCAGATGATAACAATTAATGGTGTGTTTCATCTTTACTGTTTTCCCTTATAATAAAATATTTACTGCCCTTATGGTACAAAAACATGATTCTTTGTCCTTCCCCCATGTGTTTAACTCCAGCTTTCCCTCAGAAAACGTTGTTAATATTGGAGAAACAAAGAATCATGCTTACACCTATCCTATCAGTTTAACAGGGGAGATAATAAACTATCAACAAAAAGGACATATACCCCATCATTGATACAACTGGGCTGGCAATATAAAATGTCAATATGAAAAGGGAGGTAATATCCTATCAATACAACAGTGGAGGTAATATATATACTGTCAATAGACCAGGGAAGGTAATTAATATAGAGGGTCAATAGACTAGGGAAGGTAATATACTATCAATACAACAGTGGAGGGAATAGCCTATCAATACAATAGTGGAGGAAATATATATACTGTCAATAGACCAGAGGAGGTAATATACTATCAATACAACAGTGGAGGCAATATACTATCAATACAACAGTGGAGGTAATATCCTATCAATACAATAGTGGAGGTAATATATATACTGTCAATAGACCAGGGAAGGTAATTAATATAGAGGGTCAATAGACTAGGGAAGGTAATATACTATCAATACAACAGTGGAGGGAATAGCCTATCAATACAATAGTGGAGGAAATATATATACTGTCAATAGACCAGAGGAGGTAATATACTATCAATACAACAGTGGAGGTAATATATATACTGTCAATAGACCAGGGAAGGAAATATTGACCGTCAATAGACTTAGGGAGGTAATATTGACTGTCAATGGACTAGGGGAGGGAATATAGACTGTCAATAGACCAGAGGAGGTAATTAATATAGAGTGTCAATAGACCAGGGAAGGGAATTAATATAGAGTGTCAATAGACCAGGGAAGGTAATTAATATAGAGGGTCAATAGACTAGGGAAGGTAATATACTATCAATACAACAGTGGAGGTAATATACTATCAATACAACAGTGGAGGCAATATACTATCAATACAACAGTGGAGGTAATATATATACTGTCAGTAGACCAGGGGAGGTAATATACTATCAATACAACAGTGGAGGTAATATATATACTGTAAATAGACCAGAGGAGGTAATATCCTATCAATACAACAGTGGAGGTAATATATATACTGTCAATAGACCAGGGAAGGAAATATTGACCGTCAATAGACTTAGGGAGGTAATATTGACTGTCAATGGACTAGGGGAGGGAATATAGACTGTCAATAGACCAGAGGAGGTAATTAATATAGAGTGTCAATAGACCAGGGGAGGTAATATACCATCAATACAACAGTGGAGGTAATATATATACTGTCAATAGACCAGGGAAGGTAATATTGACCGTCAATAGACTTAGGGAGGTAATATTGACTGTCAATGGACTAGGGGAGGTAATATAGACTGTCAATAGACCAGAGGAGGTAATTAATATAGAGTGTCAATAGACCAGGGAAGGTAATATAGACTGTCAATGGACTAGGGGAGGTAATATAGACTGTCAATAGACTATGGCTATACATTCGCGTATCCCGGTTGAAACGGTACGTTTGGCACAGACATTTTCCACGATAAACGAACACACTTGGACAGTTCTATAAGCAGAGCTAAAAATCCACAGTTTCGGAGAAAAAACAATGTATCAAGAATATTATGCCCTTCTCTCACGCGTCCACTAAATTACATAACGTATCTTAAAAATTACATGTGACTTGACATTGTTTAAGAAATAACGCAAATTGGCAAAAGTCAGCATTTTAGTTTCAGTCAGGTTTGTCTGGACCCCTCAATCTACACGTACCAAATTTTCCTAAGGTCAGCCTCAGTCCAAATCTGTACCTGTCGTTTTCTCTACAGGTTCAACCGGATACGCGAATGTACCCCAGAGGAGGTAATTAATATAGACTGTCAATAGACCAGGGAAGGTAACTAATATAGACAGTCAATAGACCAGGGAAGGTTATAAGACCGTCAATAGACTAGGGGAGTTAATATAGACTGTCAATTGGCTAGGGGAAGTAATATAGACTGGCAATTGACTAGAGGAGGTAATATAGGCTGTCAATAGACTAGGGGATGTAATATAGACTGTCAATTGACTAGGGGAGGTAATATGGACTATTAATAGACTAGGGGAGGCAATATAGACTGTCAATAGACAAGAGTGTTGGTTGTGAGGGACTGTTTCCTTTTGTACAGGTAGATTTCACCAGGCCCAATCATTTGACTTCATGCTTATCATTTATACAATTTATTTCCCAAATTTGTATTCATAAATGCACTTTCCTGTATACAAATAAATTAGTGATCAACAACATTTCACTGACTGATGAATGGGCTCTTTCGTTAATATGACACCCTATAAATGTTGGTGATTATTTTGATCCTGGGGCTGACATGACTGAGGCATTTGTATTAATCAATGATGACACACCACACACATATGTCACTGTACAAATATACCTGGACTTTGGTGAATCTATATCAGCTAGGTAGTATTGGTGCTCGGCAGGGCACACCCAGCCCCCGAGGGGTACTTGTTGCTTGGTACATGAAGGTATGTGATATCACTCATGAATACAAACATAGTATTGACAATTTCATTTTTAGAGACATGATTGTGACCCTTTGGCAAAATCCTGGACCTACTTTGGACCTACTATAAATTAAATATTTTTGTTTACTATTTCCACAGACTTAGATAGAAAATTGAATTCCATGCTATATATTTTGCTTGCTTCTACCCAAAATGCCTTTGGTTATATTTATTTAGACGTGTTATGGAATGTCTTCTTGAAGCGATTTCATTGTATTTCGAAAATAATGAAATAATAGCAATTGTTAAATTCATTTACAAGATGATTTAGTACATTTAGTGAGGAGTTCAAAAAGTAGGAGAAAATCTTATTGAGTGATTTTTTGTTATACTTTTATAGCTAAAAATGTGCTAATCTTCTTTAATCTCACAAAAATCAAACGATCATCATGACTTACACAAAAAAAATGCTTAAAAATAAGCCTTCTTGCATGTATTGAAATTACAATATTTATCATAGAGTTTTCTGTCCAGATCTCACTCCCCTTCATACAGATAAAGAGATCATTATTTAGCATGTCCTTCGTTACGCTCATTTTACATGTACATACAGATGAATTAAAACAGTACAGGTCTCTCAACCAACTTGCTTTTTGTTTCAGTGACAGTGTTCACTATTTATCGTTTTGATACTGTCAGTGAACAAAATCCTACATGGTACCGACGACGTACCTGTACGTCATGTAAAGCCCTAGTAATATTACAAACCGACTTCACGCAGTAGTTTACCTACAATTCAACCATCCATTCTCCTTCCAATGACTGTGTCCAGTTATTTTCGGTAATAACCAGTGGTTTGCTTGACTGTTGACCACACAGACACGCCGATACCAAACACAGGACAGCGAGATTTCTCAGTGTTGCCTTCATGTTGCTTGTATCGGTACCCGTCGAATGAAACGTAGCCACGCTCACATATAGGGCCTACAAACAGGAAGTGTTTCCACAACTCGACACATAGCCAGAGTTATTCCCCTTAGCATTTGGACATGAGTGCACTATTATGTTACAACTCATACAATCATACCATCATGCAGCCCGTGAAGTAACTATGTGACCAGCACAATGACATGCATTAGATACATTTCGGGTTTTTTTAAACTAAGAATATCTACTTTCGTGTTAGGTTGTAGCCGAAACGTGTCACTAATCTAATCTAACTAATCTAATCTAACTAATCTAATTCCGTGGTCTAACGTAACGTTTATATATGATTTTTTATTAGCTCATATTGGCATATGAGCTAATATGATCTAATAAAAAATCATATATAAACGTTACGTTAGACCACGGAATTAAATTAGTTATCTAAGTCCGTGGTTAGACACGGAATCTAACTTGTTCAGTCCGTGATATACTCGCAGTCGGAGAACAATCTACATGCATAATTAATAATAAATAAACGTATAAAGAAGCCGATCATGTTCCCGACCGATCTTATTATATTTTATTTTTGTGTTAATAGGTTAAACTTATGTATTGCCAAGCATGAACTTTTATCAATCCAAGGTATCTAATCTAATTAATGGCGCCCAACGTGTTGTTCAACCACAGAATTAGATTAGTTATCTCAGGAACAGTATATCCCTGGTTATCTAAGTCCGTGGTTCAACGTATAATAGGATTTCTTTCTGTCATGAGATATATTCAATAGATTGGAAGTGACTCTTTCATCAAATAGTTTGTTCTAGTAATTATTTTAATAAGCTAGGGCGTTAAACAAAATAAAACCAAACCAATATGAGTTTAAATCAATGTTCTTTTTGGCTAAACTCAATCAGAGACGTATATACTGGCTTTATGTGGCCGTGTATTAACGTACATATACAGTGGCCAAATCAGGTTTTTTTTTATTAAGAAATTAACTGAATTACCTGGTACATTAATATGCAAACTGTCCCTGCATGTTCTCGGGGAAAACACTACCGAAAATACTGAGCACGTCCTTCCGTATGCCACTTGATCCCCAGTGTCCGAATTAACGTCCTATTGCTAGCGGGGCTTTAGTTAGTTCGAAAGGTCGAAGGCTGAATTCATGATTCGAACATTTATTTTGTAAAGCATGACGAGAAATGATTGAAAGTGTGACCGATGTCCTAAAAAAATTCACGCTGTAGTACTCTTTGTCTGTCGAAAACCCCTCCTAATTAGGGCTAAACTTATTTGTTATACTTACGAGAATTTGATAAGACAAATATGAAGAAAATGAACTGTCATAGTTTAAATAATTAAACTCGTCAACCCTTTTAAAACGGCTTTGATCGTAATGATATCATCTAATTGCGTGGTATGACCTACATGTAGCTATGCAATATGTCGTTAGCTATAGAAACTGTCTGTTCAATTACCCATTTCATCGCTTGTACCATAATGTCCCGATGATACTTACGGTAAGTCCTGAATTACACAAATCAACAGGGTATCGATTTAGAATGTGTTTATATTAATATAAAGGTGTCGGTTTGTTATTTTACAGTATGATTATAATGTCTAATGATTACAAAAAGGAATATTCATATGTGATACAAACTCATTTTGCCATGCATAATCTTCACGGGACGACCCCCCGCCCCCAATAAATAAAAATGTAAGAGTGTGGGTTACTAGGATGCAAACTTTCGGAGTATCTTCATTTAGTAGTTTTGAAAATCCACATATCACTCATATATCTTGTGGGATATAGAAAAATATACCCTGCTAAGCTAGGTTAGCGTTTTTCTTTGAATTCATACTGGGATTTGTTTTAATTTATCGTTTCTACTGGATATGTCTTCAGCATCTCAGTACACGTGATAAAAAGAAACACTAGAGAAACACAAGAGAAAAACAAGTGCTTTGTTAGAGATGATTAATATAGAATTATACAATTCTTATTACTGATAATCTTATTATCGATGCATTTTTTTCATGAATATACATGAATAGGCATGGCATTGTCACGAATTACAGACGTTTCGCCCCAAAACCGTTACGCCCCAGACCATTTCGCCCCATATTTTTCACATCGCCCCAATTTTCAGTTCATTTCGTCCCAAATATGATAACCATATATCGTCCCATTTCGCCCCTAAAGCTATATAGCCCCAACATTTTTGAAATAAGGTTTATCCTCTTGTGTATATGTATGAGTCACGTACGCTAAACATAAATGCCTTTATCTCCGTTTACGGTATAATGACACCCTTAGCTCAGCTCATTGAAATCAGGGTACATGCGTATACGTAAACGTAGGTGATCTGTCTCGCTGTCTAAACTATAATGTCAGTCCCCGCCCAGGGCCAGTCAGTCACGTGGTCAACACACAGAACAGGGATTTTCCGTTTGTTTACGCGATAAATCATGCACATAAAGATATATTTACATAGCTTTTAAACATATTTGTATCACAGACGAAAATAAATCTGGTACTTTTCTAGTGTATAACATCTTATGTTGGTACACGTAGTTGGAATGTCAAGGTGTATATGATATTCACTTCCTTGTTTCCGCGCCACTGCCCGTGGGTTAGTGGCCTCACTGTGAAGTTTAAGATGTGACGTATACACTCCATTTCATTCAAAACACTAACCTGTCACAGAAGAAGAGCTGGATTATAATGATTGTTTGTGAATATAAAACCTCGCTGGACTAGAGTCACACGAAGGAAGACATACAAGGTACGTACCCAGGTCTTGTTTACTCCGGAACATGACTATTCATTCATTCGTTTTATATGAAGCTATATTGGAATGTTACATATTTGCATACAGTAGTTAACATGTACTTGGTCATATTTTGTTACAGAGCCTTCATAATAGGTGCTCCAGAAACGCTGCTCCAATTTTATGAGTTTATAAACGTGCCCTGGGTTACGTCTATGATTTACATAGATCAGAGATGCGTTATACGTCTCTGCATAGATCTAGGTTGACATCGTTACATGTATTACATTATGAGTTAAACTCTATATATACTGGGTCCCTTATATATCTATAGATGCAGTTTGTATCGTTGCCCTCAACACACCAGAGACGTATAAAGCCAACGTCTCGGAACACCCCGAACACCTCAACGACAGTAGAGGATATGATGAGGAAGAACACCTGTAGGCTAAATGTTGTACAAACTAGCAGAGGATGTTTTTTTCTTTTTTCCTAACCATAATCAGAATTGACAATCACTGTAGTCTGTGAAAATTAAGATACTTATATGTTAAACGATAATTTGAAGACAGATTTGTGAACCTTAAAGAACGTAAATCTGAACAAGTGCCAAACTATTTACATTCCACCACTCAGTCCAGCACCTCATGTGCTTATTATACACGGTACCTCGATACCTACATGTATATCGCTTATCTCAATAACCTTAACACTTGTACAATGTATAAAACTCACTCATTCGAGCTCATAATTAAGTACATAACGATACCCCATGTACTTATTACTTACCACAAGTTCATAGGTACCCTCATGTATCACACGACATATTTTAATACATGATTTTATTCTTGTTATAAAATATTATTATATTATGTAGTACATGAATGTTTAGCAGTGCAACATATCTCTCCACACCTATAGGCGAAGGTCCGAAAATGATTTGTGTATGTGTATTGTTGTTGTTTATTTGTTTACTGTTATGTTGTACTTTATATATATACATGTATCACGGAATTAGATTAGATATATAAGTCCGTGCATGTAAACATATACAACTGAAGAGCTGTATAGCTTAACGTAATAAACTTGAACCTATCCACATACCAATACCCGCACATACATAACCTAATACATTCATCATCATACATTAGGTACAAAGATACGTACATTCCTATAATACCTTCATCATCATACCTTAGGTGAATAGATACGTACATTCCTATATATAATACCCTCATCATCATACACTAAGTAAATAAATACGTACATTCCTATATATAATACCCTCATCATCATACACTAAGTAAATAAATACGTACATTCCTATATATAATATCTTCATCATCATACAATAAGTACATAGATACGTACCTTCCTATATATAATGCCCTCATCATCATACATTAGGTACATAAATACGTACCTTCCTATATATAATACCCCCATCATCATACATTAGGTACATAGATACGTACCTTCCTATATATAATACCCTCATCATCATACATTAGGTACATAGATACGTACCTTCCTATATATAATACCCTCATCATCATACATTAGGTACATAGATACGTACCTTCCTATATATAATACCCTCATCATCATACATTAGGTACATAGATACGTACCTTCCTATATATAATACCCTCATCATCATACATTAGGTACATAGATACGTACCTTCCTATATATAATACCCTCATCATCATACATTAGGTACATAGATCGATATGTACCTTCCTATATATAATACCCTCATCATCATACATTAGGTACATAGATCGATATGTACCTTCATATATATGATACCCTCATCATGACATCATATAGAAACATCTCGGTACCCACACATTTATAATACCCCCAACAGCATAGAAGCATATTGCTATCACTATCCTCACATTCATAATACCATCAACGTCATAGCAAAATATCGATAAAGGTACCCGCACATTCATATTACCCTCATCAGCATAGAAACATATCGATATCGGTATCCTCACATTCATAATACCCTCACCAGCATAGAAACATATCGATATCGGTATCATCACATTCATAATACCCTCAACGGCATCGCAAAATATCGATAATATCGGTACTCTCAATTTCGTTTTACCCTCACCAGCATAGAAACATATCTATATCAGTAGCCTCACATTTGTCATACCCTCATCATCATAAAAACATATCGATATCGGTACCCTCACATTTGTGATACCCTCACGAGCATAGAAACATATCGATATCGGTCCCTCACATTCATAATACCCTCATCAGCATAGAAACAAACATACAAGTATCGGTACTCTCAGACTCGTCATACCCTTACAAGCATAGAAACATATTGATTTCGGTACCCTCACGTTTGTTATACTCCCATCAGTATAGAAACATCGATATCGGTCCGTCACATTTGTAATACCCTCATCACCATAGAAACATATCAATATCAGAACCCTTACATTTGTCATACCCTCAATAGCATATAAACATATCGATATCGCTACCCCATCACATTTGTAATACCCTCACCAGCATAGAAACGTATCGATATCGATTCCCCCACATTTCAAATACCCTCACCAGCATAGAAACATATCGATATCGGTAACCTCACATTTGCTAAACCCTATATTGTTTATCCGCATTGATTTGACTTGCTGTTTGTGAAAGTCCCAGAAAGTAACCCACTTCTATATCTACAGGGTTTGAACCTTTAATATATCCCCATTAATAACTCTAGTTGCTGATCAGTTACAGGTTTTGTTGTTGTTATGATGATGAATAACACAATCTGTACCCAGAGTTGTCGTTCCTTGATCGCAATGTGCGTTGCACGGTATGCAATACTATACACAGCTGTATGATGATTTGATGCCTACAACACTAGCACACATAACCACACATATAACCATGGGGTCACATACCTCCATGTACACACGTGGTTCTGAAGTCCGTCACATACATGTATATCAATAGAAGATGGATGTATTGATAGATGACCTCAATTGATCATCACTTGGCTTCATCAGTTGTCATGTCGTCTCTTCATAAGAAAGCGCGGGTACACCCAAGGACTACCTATAAGTACCTATAAGTACCTATAACTACCTATAACTACCTTTAACTACCTATAACTACCTTTAACTACCTTTAACTACCTATAACTACCTTTAACTACCTTTAACTACCTATAAGTACCTATAACTACCTTTAACTACCTTTAACTACCTATAACTACCTTTAACTACCTATAACTACCTATAACTACCTTTTACTACCTATAACTACTTTTAACTACCTTTAACTACCTATAACTACCTATAACTACCTATAACTACCTATAAGTACATTTAACTACCTATAAGTACCTATAACTACCTATAACTACCTTTAACTACCTTTAACTACCTATAACTACCTTTAACTACCTATAACTACCTATAACTACCTATAACTACCTTTAACTACCTATAACTAAATACTAGCATCAGGCAGTTCTTTATTTTATACTTATTGTATTGATGGATTGCAACAATTTCAGTACCAACTATCTCTCCTGGATCTCTACTTTCTGCCATACAAGCTCTCCCGGTTTACCAGTGCCTCACTCGATCTACCTTTGAATAGTCTATATCCAACTCGTAACCTAGAGCGGAAGTGATGAAAAGACTGCAATACTTATCTAGAACTGGTCTTAAAAGACATTTTCCCATTGACAGTATATACTCTGGTTTCTCCCATTGACAGTATACACTCTGGTTTCTCCCATTGACAGTATACACTCTGGTTTCTCCCATTGACAGTATACACTCTGGTTTTGGAAACCGTCCGTTTTTGTTTCTACAAAGTTCGTCCGAAATCACATGCTCAAAAAACGTGGAAAAAAACTCTGGAAAGCATGTTATGACTTATATTTTGTGTTCGCATGTGTAACGACACAAATACCAACACCTTTTAGTGTTTGCAAATTCCTCAGAATCAGTATAAGATGGTGAGGTTACTAATCGTTCCCTGCACTTGTTACTCATGGAAGCTCAACACCGAGGCTATTCGTGGTGGTCCTCTACCTCTAGAACTACTAGTGCAATAGACACCACACAAGTCATGCGCACTGCTGATTGCTCCAAAAGCACGCTGATGGTTTGTTACAGCTGAATTATGAATACCCCAACCCATCTCGCTCTCAACATTTTCAAGGACAACCGTGTTAAAAGAATATTTGAAAAGACATCTTATTCACACTGCAGCTATATTGTTGACTAGTTGTCATCTCTGGTTCCCGGGGAGGTGTGTGTGTTATAGGTAAGCAATTCGTCCGTCCTTCCGTCCACCACAAAAGTTTCTCCGGGGCATATCTTCTATACTGTTTTAACTGGGGTAGGCAGATTTTGTATGCATGTACATCTCGGGTTGGCGGAGTGTCAAGTCAGTTTGGCCTAGATGGTTTAATCTTTGACCTCAATCTTTGAAAAAAGTTTGTCCGGGGCACATCTTCCATACTTCACCTGAAGTAACCAGGTTTGATATACAGGTACATCTTGGGATGTCACAGAGTGTCAAGTACAAAAAGTAGGTCACTATGACCTATGATTTAACCTTTAACCTCAACCTTTGGGATATATCTTCTTAACTATTTCTCCTGAAGTAACCAGATTCGGTATGCAAGTATGTGTATGTCTTGGTGTGTCCATGAAGTATATAGTATATACATGTAAGAACTATATCGAGATAGACGTACAGCTCGTTAAATAGACAATCATAACTACTTGGGACTTTATATTGCCTTTCAATACCTTGCTTTGTTGATATCGATTTCGTATTCTATACACGTATTACATCACCTTCTAACATCTCCACCCAGCGTCACACAAAGTAAACATTTAAGTTTTAGAGGTATATGTAACGCTGTTTGATTTGGCTTTTATTTGGAGAAATACTGTTGACAAAACATACTTAACTGTGAAAGAATATAGAAATGTAAATTAAAAAAATTCTCCCGGGAATATTGAAACGGTTTGCTGACACTGGCTAAACGGGATATAATCACAGTTATTATCAATGGACGAAAACTGAAACAATTATTAGTGGTCCGAATAATAATAGTTTTGTTAGATATGCTATGTACAACACATATTTTGTCTCACATTTTACATGGACCCTTTCGCTGTTAAGTTTTCATAACACATTCAATCATAGCTTTGGGTGGCTTTTGTATCTCTTGATGGTTGAAAAGAATATTGGTTCGAAGTTTTAAACAAAAATACTAAATAGGCCAATGAGACAACGATTTCGTTTAGTGTATAGGCCATGTTAGGTAACGGTGCATGGCGTGCATTGTGTAATTTAGTTATACGTCATGCATTCATAACCCCGTGAATCTTATCATACTTCCTGGTTGTATAAAAACTCATACTCTGGCTCATGCACTAGGATTTGAATGTGTATGATCGTACACACAATATGTACATTAATATTCGTACTAAATGGGATTACACCAGCCTTGTTACAGAAGTACATTGATCACACAAATCGGGCAGTATACCTAAGGTGTCTTCGATTCCCGGATGTAAGATTAGAACTGTGATTTGAAATGAGTTCCCAGATGTTGACAGAGTACTAACTCGACTGTTTGTATTTGTTTCTTTCCAGTTAGAGCATCACTACATCGTAGCCGAGGACAATGGCGGATCTAGGCGTGGTGAGTAATAATACAGAAACAGATACTTTCTTTTTAGTCTCGTCACTTTTTGAAGGGTTTCCTAAATAAACATAGAATAAGCATCAATTTATGGTCAACAAGATATGAAGCAAAACTTTAAGAAGTGTGATTTAGATGCTATTAGACACCAGATATGTGATATACGTGTGTATAAATACACCCTGATTTACATATTGTGTAGTACTTAGTAGTTACGTTCTGTGTAACAGGTCAAGGTTATATACTACACAAATATATGTGTATGTAATGTAAGTCACGCGCTTCGATGAAAGCAATCTAAACAATTCAGTGAAATTTAATCTTTTATGTGTCCATCAACACAATATAAGTTAACTATATTTAATAGTCTTGATAACCATCAACAGAAATAGGTCATACGTATACAGGGACAAACGATAGAAAATGCTTCCAATATACGTGCGACAAATAAACAGATTTTTTTTTAAATTTATCTTTACGAATATTTGCCACCGCTGACCACTTAAAAGATAATTAATGCTTTTGATTTCAGATTGCGGGATTCATAGTGTTGGGCCTTTTCCTCTTGTTGGTCATCATAGCTTTCATCGTTGTTGTGTTTCTCGTGATAAAGAAACTAAGATTCCAAAACGATGAAATTTTAGAACTGAATGGACGAATAGACAAGCTGAAGTCAGTAGAAGAGGGCGGGACCGGGGTGGAGACGGACCCGGAAGTTGTGGTCTCTCGGACGAGATCCAAACCAAAAGGAGAAATGAGAACGGACAGTGCAGTGGACATGTGTGACTCATACAGTTTAAGTACAAATGACAACAGTATACACGGCAATGAACATTGCATTTCTCAAAGTCCCGTGTCGTTCAAAATCAAACCACAATACACAATCAAAGTTAAAAATCGACACACCCTCATGTTTGGTTCCCGGACTGCCATGCCGCAGATGGTAGCTATGACGCAAGACTTTTCCCGCGACGCCGACGCTAGTGATGCTGTTGCTACAGTGGATGAGATTGACATAGAGAGTTGTGATGAAAGAGATACGGTGGGCACGCTGTCGCCCCTCTCTCGACAATCAATCTGGCAGGGTCGACCGACCTCTATTCTCATGCAGACCCCCACAGCAACACCCGACTCGTCTAGCAAATCTATGTCCCAAGAAAAGGGTGTTTTCGTTCACAAAAGTATCGGTAAAGATGGCGACATACTTAAGATGTCAGGTTTAACTTTAGAAATCCCTCCTGGTGCGTTGAACGAATCTAAGCTGATAACTTTAGGAATCACGTGGGATGAAGCTCTTCTCCCGAAGTTAAAAAAGAAGCAAGCACATCTTAGTCCTGTTGTGGTGTGTCAACCTTGTATACGGTTTGCTAAACCTGTCAAGTTGACGTTTCCACATTGCGGTGTCCAAGTAATAAGGGATTGGATACCGCGGGTGATAAAACGTCAGGGTAACCTTGACGACCAGTCGGAATGGACGAATTTAACACTTGACGATTACGAGGAGAGAGATTTTACAGAATCTGATGTAACAGTCAGTCTTAAACATTTCACATTGTACACACTGGTAGGAGAGTCTAAGCCAGATAAAACTGCTGCAAAGAAAGTCAAGTTGATCGCCTTCACTCCAACGCTTCAAATGGGCGTCATGTTCAAAACTAGAATATACTGCATCAACGATTACGACACAGAAATCAAGGTTAGATTAAATCATATTGACTGCTAAGTATCTTTAAGATTTTCGTCTTTGTATTACCTAAACACGTGAATACCATGTGATGTTCTGAATACACTCCTATGCTCGGCGTATTTTTAATGTAATAACGGCCATCGTGACCTTATACATAATACAGTTTAAATAATAGGACGTCCTACAATATTAACTTCGCATTGAAGATAATAGACATGCGGTCATTAGAAGGCGATGTTGAGAGACGTGACAATTGTTAAGGAAACTATGACCGGTTTTTAAAACATGTTCGCAAACATTTTTGTTATTGTGATAACATATTTAAATAAAGTTTTCATTTCACCTCAGCAAAGCTCAAATAAATTGCAAATGTCTTATCCTATGCCTATAAAATACGTTACAACATACACGTATTTGGTTCTGATATTTAAAATAGACGGGAACATCATTTTATTACCAGAACGGCGGAATGATTTCTAATTTTCCTGATAACATTTCAAGATGGAGACCAAAGATGCCATTTGATTCGGTCGGCTATTTCAGCGACCAATGAGTCTGGAGCTTGGGTGTCGGTCTGGTATGATACAGATGTGCATCCTTGTATGCGTATGATAACGATGGTAGACGGAAATCTGGTAGCGACATGTTTGGTCTTAGGACATATTCGTAGGCTCATTTCTGAATGTTACTTTCTCACTTGTATTTTTAATACAGGTCGTTGATAAAGTGGAAAGCAAGCTAGATGGAAGCATGTCTAACGCACCAGTGCCTCTTATATTCCATGACAACGGCAAAGACCTCACGGTCTCGTTGAAGACGGACGTGCAAGGATGGAATTTGTGTGGGGAGAAGACACAGGTAATACACTTTACTAGCACCAACATAGTGTACTAGCTAGGTTGTCGGGAAATTCGTTTAATGCTTCATCAATGCTGTACAATGGGATACGTTTTTAAATTTTATACTGAAAGAGAAAATTACCACAGGGACCTGAGAACTTGTAACAGCTACAACTGGACCTACGCTAAGGTGTTCAGGGTAGTTTTACACATTTGCGGGGTGTAGAGTAACGTTCGGTAACACAGCCAACCCAAGGTTTATAAATACGAAAAGGGAGGAAAGTTCTCGTGTCGATCCCATCTTACATTTCTAGTTGACGTAAAAAAAAGAAGCTTAGTACCGTTGGAAAGATGGATATTTTTCTCTTTTTGAAACCTCCTATATGCACAAACAATGAATTCTCCCCTTCACGGACATGATCTCCACATGCGATTTCCGAGTTTTAAAGTTTTTCGCATTCACAGAGCCACCTTTTCCATATGCATAGGGTTAATGTAACATGTGGTGTTGATTAGCTGGTTATTTTGGGGGAAATGGCTGCGCTTTTTAGAATTAAAGCAGCCTTTCACACCACATGTTTCGGCACGTGGCTGACGTCAACCTCATGAATATAGAAAACGTGGCTCTATAAAGCTGTAACAAATTCTTAGTTCCCGGTGGTTATTACTAGTATTTCTGTGAACTGAAGAAGAAGCAGTGATGTACCAAATCCATGTTTATTTTTATTGATGTATATTGAACCAAATATTACGAATACCAAAAATTATTACACTGAAGAAGTGCTATATTATTTATTTAACCACTAAATCTATATAACGTGTCAAAACTAACGTAAATCCACTCGGTACAACAGAGGGACGAGGATTTCTTTGTAAGGAAGACATACAACGCCATACTTTTATATGACCTAATACTGTAAATACATATGTCGACGTAATGCCTTCTTCCCACTGTATTACAGTACATGCCTTGTAACCACATGGCTTGTTACCACTCTATTACAGTACATGTATTGTTACCACTCTATTACAGTACATGCATTGTTACCACTCTATTACAGTACATGTCTTGTTCCCACTCTATTACAATACATGCCCTGTTACCACTCTATTACAATACATGCTTTGTTACCACTCTATTACAGTACATGGCTTATTACCACTCTATTACAGTACATGCCTTGTTACCACTCTATTACAGTACATGCATTGTTACCACTCTATTACAGTACATGCATTATTACCACTCTATTACAGT